AGTGTTAGTTAGTTCTGCCTAATCAAATTAATTTTGGTCTAAAAGAAAAGAGATTCCCGCTATGTTCTTTAGCATCCCCAAATATTTTACCTTTTGTATATAAAAAAGTTGAAATTCTATATTTTTTCCAATTTCTAGGATGAACAGTTTCACGATTTCAAGATTAAAAGTTTGCTTGTTACTACTATAATTCATCTATTGATGTTATATTTTGCTAGTTCCATTTAGTTTGTTATTTTGTTCATACTTTATGCTGATGTGTTCATTGCTAACTTATTATTTATTAGTGAGGAAATAAATGCAAATTTATTAATTATTTTATTTTTTTACTTTTTTTTTTGGGGGGGTATGGGGTTGGCTTCTTAAGACTGGCAACGGACACGGAAATTGGTGGCATATTCAATCAAAGAGAAAAGCTAGTTGTAGTAAGTCGGACGTCGTGCCGCCATTGTTGTCTGCAACAATGTTCCAGCTGGCTGCAACTTTGTAACCCACCCATGGTCTACTGTTTGTGTTTTACATCAACGTTACGTAGTCGTAACGGATCTATCACCGGGTACGAGCTACCACGAATTAGTCTGGTTCCTTTAACAAATTGCCCATCTGACTTACAGACTTGTGGCCGGGAATCAGTCTACTCACAAACATTCAGGCGGTGTGGAATTAAATAGAGGGCGCTGTTTTGAAATTGTTTGAGAACAAAATGGCCAAAAAAAAAAAAAAATTGACGCACCCGTTCAAAATCGACGCGCGCTGACCAGAGACCGACTATTTGGGGGGGGGGGAACCTGAGACCACCCTTAGATAAATAATTTGAGAGAAGTCACTGTCTTACGAAAGTCCGTCAGTGCCAACATTTTTTAAACTTATTATTATTATTTTTAGAATTTTGTTTGGTTAAATTGTTTTTTTTTTATTTATTTAATTTCATTCAAACTTTGCGAAACGGAGGTTTGGTACGCGGGCATTGCCGTTTGTAACTTTTGTGGGGGGCCTCTTCCGTTGTACGTCCTCTGTAGTCGCCGTCGTCGTCTTTACTCGACTCCCTCTGGGTCTAATAATCCCTGAAGATGGCACATCGTTTCTCGCCTTACAAGAGGGCTATTCTGAAGGGATTTCAGGGGTGCACCGCAGCAAATAAATGCCCATAGACAGCATTGACAAATCCCCATACTTCACAAATATTAAAAAATACTCACAACTCTTACAGGGGTTCAGGCTACACAGAAAAACGATGTTCGACATGTCTTCTTTCATTTTCCTTTCAATTTTCAGTGGTTTGACCGATGAATTTTGAACAGTTTTCACCCAAAGCAGACCGCCCCTAAAATGAAAGAAATTTCACTGCCAGGAAAAGCAGCTATTTGAAAATGCATCCTTCTGCAAAACGGCTAAATAGTGCCACTTTCAGACCCGATTATAACAAAGTTCCTAAGAATTGGAAGCCCTCAGTCCGGCCCAGAGTTTCAGTGTCATATTTCTTCAATTCCCCAGTTCCATGGCTCTCACAACCCTCTAATATAGAATATTTGGAGGGTATAACTTTTATTCATGAGCTCGGCGGACAATTTTCTGGCCTATTTACGTAGGTGCACCCTCAGGTGCATCCACCGATAACCACAAAGTTACCCTGAGGTACTCAACTGTCCTTCTATAAAACATGCCACATCCGCAATGTCTGTGTTGTGTTTTCGGCGATAAAGGCCAAGTTCTGGCAATCTACGGTGTAGGCTATGCTTGCTGAGACTGTGACGATTACAAGCAAGAGAAGCCAAAATTTGGTCATAACTTAGTCCCGAACTAAAATGCCTGATCAAATGCAGACTCCGTGGGTCCGGAGCCGCGGCAGCCGTGTCTTCCGAAAAATTTGAGGGGGAAAATAAAGAAAAAGAATTAAAAAAAACTATTGTAATAAATGTAAAAGATGTAAAACATTTTTAATGGTACTAATAAGACACTACGCAGCCTCTATGTAACCACAGTCCACACTTCTGCTATGACCTGAAATCGTTCCGTACATTATGGACATTACATAATTACCTTTGTTTTGTAAAATTTCTTTTAAAAAAATGTTGGCACTAACGGGCTTTCGTACTGTCTCAATTTGCAAACCTGTAAATGTAGTATGCGGCGGTAAGACCGAATATTAGTAAGACCACTGGTATCCCGACACCGAAGTACAGCCCGTATCCTGCAAAAGAGTGACAAGTGTATGTATCCATCCATAATTACAGCTCACTAATGACATTTATAAATTTCCAGTTATTAAAACAACCATTAAGGCACTTTTCCATGTGTATGTATTTTGGGTTTGTTGCGTGGGGATGCATTCAGGCGTTGCACCCTCACGGCCAGAAAATCGATTCCATTAATTTAACATGGGTGCGTTGCGTTCGGTCGTCAAATCGCCCCGGGAGCGATTTGTACGAATACATAACGCTTGGTGCAAGTGTTGACGCGCATATGGAAGGAAAGTGAAAGGTTTATAGTCACTCTGGTTTCTGCTATGTATACAAGTTTGCCACACGAAGAATAATAGCCAACATCTATATGTACGGTGTTAATTTTGCGACAGGTCATTGACACACTTTGGGCGAGAGAAGTATCACAGCGCAATGTAAGTCTGCAATGTAAGGCCAGGCCAGGGAATGTTAAAGCTTATCTTCAATGGTTGAGTCCAAAATAAAAAGGAAATTGGAGGTGTCTGAGGACTCTGATCAAAAGTATGTCCCAACCAGCTAAAATTGAATGTTTTATGTATCGGCGTAACGGTTACAGGGCTCCTCTCCCCTTTTGATATGGGAATTTATATAAAGGGTTTTGCCCTTGATATGGGAATGTGCATACAACGCCAGTGGTGTATCCAGGATATCGTACCTATCATCTTGCAAGACATATTGCAATTCTTTTGAGCTTGAGCACTTCAGAAACGATCCTACTAACCTGGAGGGGGGGGGAATGGGGATTCTTTTACTGATTTTAATCATTTGACAGTCATTCTTTAAAATGTCATTTTTCCTCCCACACACCCCCGATACAATGCCTACATACGACACTTCAAGAGAATTATTGTTCATTCAGTTGCGAGTGAAGTTAATCGGTACACCATTTGTGTGATCCGCATATGTCAACCAGCCCGTAAGACCACACAAATTAACTTGTGCAGGCGCGAATTTGCCCCCCAGTACAAGTGAAAGACGCGGCAGTCTTCCATGATAATAAGCATGGTATTCTGATCTCGTTTTCACTTAGTGCTTTCTGTCTGAAGATGTACAAGTCAGTGAATGTAGCCTTTTCAGCGTCATAAATATCGATCTAAATAGAAGCAAACCTTTGGAGCCTTTCCATGATTTGGGTTAAAATATATAGGCTTTCAAAATGGTCCAAATGCAAGAAATGGTGTAGGGACTTCAAAATGGCGCCCGTGTGATTAATATCAATCTTACTTGGACAGAGTTCGCCAAAATAGCCACAAACAGGCATATCCAGTGGAGGGCCCATGTCGTTGGGCCAGTGGATGTCCAGATCGTAGTCATCAGTTCTATTGAAAGTCTGCAAGTGAAAAAAGTCCCCTCATAATATGAAATTAAATTTCAAAAACGATATTACATGACTAGTCGTGAAATTTGATTTCTATGCAAGACTGAGTAATTCTGAAGATAACGAAGTTTTGGGGCGACACTACTGGTGGTGCACCTCTTAGAGCTATATATAAAAGATAGAGCGCTGACTCGTCTACAAAGTGATACCTGCTGTGCGCATTCATGTTTGTGCAGAAACCTACGGGAAAATCGAAATTTTGTTCGGCTTTCGTACGGCTATTTGCATATCTACGTCTGTATTCTAAAACGATAGTCGACAAAGCCGCTACACAAACAACCAACTGAATGTACATAAGTACATAAGCTTATCATTCTGCTCTACGCAAAAAAAGAAAGAAATAAAAAGAAAACCCGCAAACGTGTGCGTTGTACCTGGGTGTTGCATTTAGGATAAATTATTCGATATTTATTCTATCTGATTTCGAATGTTCTACAAGCTCACGCATGGATTCAAAATGTCTGCTCCTAGGGCGGCGTCAAAATTCGCCGCACGGAGAATGAGCGGAAGTGATCGCTCTAGTTATTTATCCGCTCCAAGCGGATCAAAAGAGGGCGTCTTTTTTGGTACTCACCGCATAGGCGCGCCTCATATATAATGCGCGTTTGACGCGGAGCACTCTTTCCGATTTAGAGGCCGAGTTCGGGCCGTAGGTTCGCGAACAGCTCGATTTGTTGACCGGGGGTCGGTCGCTCGAACACCGCGAAGAAACAACCAGTTATTGCTTGTAGTTAGTGACAAACAACATTCAACATGGCGGCGTCCATGTAGGCCTAGGCTACGTAATTCGACGGTTAATGTTTGGATGGGCTGAATTTTTTTCTATATAAACAGGAACATTCATTTCTGTGTTACGGAAAGTAATTAGTGTTAATTTTGCAAAACTTCCCATTGTCTATGGCTTTGGAAGCCATCTCTCCACTATTGCAGCTGTTCAAAAATCAAAATCTCACGAGTTTTTCCGTGTGTTCCTGTAAAACCCTGACGAGGAGGTGGTGTGTGATCCTGTTCCGAGAAAAGTGTTCTTGAGTCATGTTCCCGCCGTTCGAGCGCGAGAACAAGAAACCCGTGTCAAGAACAGGCCGTCCGAACTCGACCAGAGAGTATGCGTAACTAATTACTATGGCATGTAGGCCTACTGTATGGTCTTTGTGTACACGCAGAACGAGTGCAAGAACCCGCTTGTAACCACCTGTCTTTCTTTTGCCGATTGGGGGTGCACTTCATTGTATTAAATTCATTATATAAAAACTAGAGCGCTAACTTCTCTTTCTCCGCGCAGCGAATTTTGACGCCGCCCTGGGCACAGACATTTTGAATCCATGTGCATGTTTTGCAGAACGTTCAAACTCTGGTAGAATGGATATCGAATTATGTATTCTACATGCAATGTTCAAGTGCAACGTACGTGAATGTCAGCGCGTCTTTTGAATAAGATGCACACGCAAAGAGCAATAGCAGGTGTTTATTTGCATCCGCTGATTATTTGAAAACGAATGTTTCCCTAACATTTGAGCAAGGTCGTCCGATTTCGCATGTCTTTTGATGGCTGTCTTTCGATGAATAAGTTCAGTTAAATTAAAAAGTCGTTCCCTTAATTCAGTCAGTGTTAAGTGAGTTGACGGCTCTGGAGCAGCAGCTGTTGTGCACATTGGGTACCGATGAAATCCGATTTAAAAACGTCACAGCAAAATTCATGTGCAGCGCATGCGCGCACGCATTCGTTTAGGCCTATTTGTTTGTTTTAGCGCAGAGCAAAATGAAACGCTCATGTACTGATTGTACGTTCAATTGGTTTGCGTATACGTATCGGCTTTGTTGATGTATTGTTTTAGAATACGGACGCAGATACGCAAATAGCCGTACAAAAACCGTACAGAATTTCGAGTTTTCCATAGGTTTGTGCATAAACATGGATGTGCCCAGCAGGCATCACTTTGCACGTGTGTCAGCGCTCTAGCTTTGATATAAAGCTCTATAATTAAATTATACACTGCAAAAACTGGGGTGTTAAGTTTAACATAATAATAGCACGATGCTGCCCTCAGAATTGTCCCTCGGGATATACGCCACTGATACACAGATGAGCTAGCACTGCGCCTCATTTGCTGAATTCTGACAACTATACTAATGATTCTTCAATTCCTACCCATTTGCCGTCAATGGTCCGGATATATTCCCCCACTCCAACCATGCCTGGGAAGCCAGCAATCAGGTAGTCGTCAGCTTTTTGCAATCTGTTCATATCAAGCAAAACGAACCTCGACACGCCATCACCCGTATGATCTATCTGGTTGTTTAGCATGGAAATGCCTGCATGTAAAAATAATCAGCATGGTTGTGCTCCCATGAACTACTCAGTTTGGATTTTCTGTTAAAAACAGAATTAACTTGATATTTTTGCTCCTATTTGTGGCTTTGCTAGTTGCAGTTAAGGTGTTGCTGACGTTATTCAGATATAAAATGTGATTCGTAAGTTTCATATTAAGAATGTATACACGAAAAAGAGGCAAATCCGTGAGTTCCTGCCCCAAATACTGGACGCAAAGCTGACGTGTCCATTAAAAATCATGTTTTTATTTTTCCTTCGGTTACTGGGTGCCGTGCAGCCTATAGCCTATAGGTTACATGCATTTCCGGTGCTTGTTTCTGGTCTGTTACTCTGTCTACACGAATATCTTTTCGCACAGCGGGGAAATTCCTGAAGAGTCTGATCCGTTTACTCAAGGTTTACGCACTCATCAAGTCAGCAATATCGTATAGCACGCCTGTCACTGTATAGTGATTCACTTACTCTGATAGGGTGTGTTGAAGATGTGACTGACAATTTGTTGGCCGTCATAAGGATCCTCCCCTGCGTCCAGTGTTGCCTGCAGGGCTTGGGCGAAGAGTATGGTAGCATCGTACAAAAAAGCAGCAAATGTGTGGAACTGTGGGCAGACAAAGTTGTAGTAGACGAATGGTGAATAAGTCGGAATATGTAAATCGAAGGGTGGGCGTATTCCCCTGATCTTAACAAAAGCAACTCCTGACTTGGGCATGTCAGATAGGCATTTCCAAGAATTGGCTTCCATATATATAATTTTTGTGCCGAAAATTGCCTTAAACGTGTTGTAGAACTCGGATTCAGGACTTGCACTCGACTAGCACTCGAATCTCGGTTTTTTGACTTGGACTTCATTCGCGTCACTTCATTTTGCAAAGGACTGAGACCGAGCATGATGACTCGGATTAAAACCGATGACTCGTGACTCGCGAGTTATATTTCACCAATGGATATGTACAATTTCCATAAATTTAGGCTACTTCCTGCAAGTGAAAAGCATAATCTACGCCCACGCATAGCTCCTCTCACAACGCGCAGAAGACAAGTTTACCTCGTGCAGAAGCCTACGCAGCGTGTATCACTCTCGTGCCCAGGTCACTCAGGTCAGGGAAAATAGTCCCCGAGCATAACAGTCTCAGGAAAACGATTCCCAAAGCTATAGGGGCTTTGTCCCACAGGGTCAATTGCCATTCCGTTTTAATTCCTTTGATATACTGATCTATTAGCGGATATGTGGTCATTAGATTTTGAACTTTGCCCTGGATATGGATCCAGATCAAAATGTTTTGGAGGCGCGGGAAACTTGTTTGAGGGTGGCAAAAATGTGAATTTTTTTCATGTAACCTTTTTGTGGCCTTTCTGAGTGGTGAGGCCATGGGGCTCCTTAACTCCATAAAAGACTGTTAGAAGAGAGAATCAAATAGACATTTATTATTATCGTCCATTATTGTCCAAAATAGTTGTTCGTGCCGGGGGGATTAGTGCCCCGATGCACCCTTATGCATATTCCATGGTATTATTCCTGTATAAACCTGGATCTGCCTTTGTGATCTAATCTTTCTCGGTGTTTCCAATTTTCCTGTGTGTTTTCCTGGTTCTCGATATCATTATAATTATTGTAATGCTGCTTAACAAACAGAAATGGTTTATCTTTCATTTAAATTGGCACCACTTTTCAGAACTAATTGTTTTAATGCATAGATGCGCTAGAATATCAGATTTTGTAATGTGCACGTTGGTTTCCTACACTGATTCCTCTGAAAAGTATATACCTTTTACACAAAATTGCGCGCGTGACCTATTTTGCCAAAATATACTTCTATGGACGCATCGTTGGAAATGGCCTTCATTGTTTTCTTCAAAATGGCAACTTGCCAGACGGAATAATTTCACGAGGTGTTAAGTCCCATAACCATCTTTAAACCAAGTGTGCTTTTCAACAACGATTTCGTTTGTTATTTTTTGGTAACTGCAATGATGGCTGTACCTTTAAGAACGACTAGCCTATCCGCTCCGAGCAGAACTAAAGAGGGCATTTTTTTCGGTACTCACCGCAAAGGCGCACCAAGTATATGCGCGTTTGACGCGGGGCATGCTTAGTACGTGTAACTAAATTATTCCGGCATGATTTGCGTACACGCAGAACGCGTGCAAGAATCCACTTGTAATCGACTGCCTTTCTTTCGCCGATTGAAGGTGCACTTCAGCTCGGGTGGATAGCAAAACTGCACGCGTTTTCACGAGTAGACAAAAGTCACATGAATTTTAGCGTTTTCACCAAGTGGCAAATTTGTCTTTTGAGATAAACAATTTTAATACACTTTTGTGAATACTATTGGTAATTTTGTATCTTTTAGGGCCCTCTCTTTCATGAAGTAGCATGGTTAAGTGAAAGGCATATACAAGCGAAGTATAAGCATTTGAAAAAGAGACCAACTTCAAATGCGATTTCCTCGAAACCTAGGTTTTACTCTCTGTGAGAACTTCGCCTCTTCGTGAAAACGGTGACGAAATTATGGAAATTGGGGGTTTGAATGGCGGCACACTGTCTGTAACAGTAAGAGTGACAAAATGCTGTTTCAATGTAACATAATTATTTCATACTTTGAAATATCATCAAGGATGTATTATGCATCAAAGTTCTATACGCACGTATTAATATCAGCTTTTACAAAAAAAGGTTGGAGACTCGGACTCGACTCTGATGCCTCAAGCACAACACTCGGCCAGGCCAGGCCTGATAGCGACTTCTGTGTGTGTCAATCCATCTTCAATGCTGCATTATCGTGGACCCAAACAACAGCACTAACAAATTCTGATGTTATCGGGGTAGAAACCAATGTGCAGAATACAGGGAATACAGCGTTTATCAAGACTTGTAGTGAAACTTTAGTGTAACTTACATAACGACCGGTCCCAAAGAACGGACTGAGCCTGACAGTTGCCTTGACATTCCACATCCATTCTCGGTACACCCAGGTCTTCTTAGGTCCCTTGGGAGTTACGATCAGTACCGCCTCGAATGCCTTGATTGCCTTCTCGTCTTCAAAGGTACCCCAGCCAATATCTACACAACGAACACCGAGACAAATAACAGAAATGCCACCAGTGGTCTTTAAATTAGGTGTAACGTAAAGAATGCAGTTTTACGGAGCCCCTATGGGTACGGAGCCCCTAAGGGGACAGGCTCAATGAGAATTTGTTTATTTTGTTCCCTCGAATTATTATTTCGTTCCCTCGAGTTATTATTTCGTTCTCTTGAAATCATTTCGTTCCCTCGAAATATTATTTGGTTCCCTCGAAATAATTTTATTCCTCGAAATAAGATATTCCGTTACCTCGAAACACTCTTACGTTACCTCGAATTAATATTCCATTCACTCGAAATATGCTATTTCGTTCCTTTAAAGTGTTGATTTTGTTCCTTCGATATATTGATTTCGTTCTCTCGACATACTGATTTGATACTCTCGAAATATTCTTTGTACTTGGCGCCATTGGCGTACACTCATTGGACAGGAAAACGTTTCCCGATTGAAGTTTTTACTACTTACCTAGGAGTTACTGTTTATATGTCTGTGTTTATATGCCGCGCCTGTGCGTGAGTACCAAAAATACACGCCCTCTTTTGTATCTTTTGATAGCAACTCAGAATTAGACTGCATCAAGGGATACTAAAGTAAACCATCAAGTATTTGCAATTTTTGAAGAGCTGTTGAAAATGTGTTATATACGCATATAGACTGGCCAAATTCGGCCATATGTGCACGCCCATGCCCCTTGGGCCCGGGGAAGGGGGACGCACAGACATATAAACGCACAGACCGCCAGGTCCTATTCAAAACTATAGGGGATTTTGTGATCTGCGCAGGGGGGGGGATATTGTGCGGCGATGTCATGTCATGTTGAAGGGAAATGACTACAGTCTGAAGATGAAGCCTTTATACATACATTTCAGGAAAAACGTCGATGTTAAAGGCAGGAGTTTTCAAATAAATTATTGTTATGCATGGATTTTAGGGATGTTACTTTGAGATCACGGCACAGCGTGTACATTATAAGCGTGTTCGCGTTTAATGATCCCCAGCAGGATCGAGAAGCCAGAATAGGAATCCTTTTCTAGAATCTCCATGAAGCAAAGGCCTGGTGTACACTTTGAAAGTAGAACGAGTGCTTCAATAATCCCAGTCGATAATAGAAACACTGTGGATTGTAGCTATAAATGAAACAGTTCCTTATGAACACCCCCATTTTAATGAATAAAATAGGCGCACAGACAGTTGTACGCACATCACGCGCAAACCGCTTCTGTCCCCCTTGCCTCAGGCCCGTGAGTGACCAGAAGAAGATCCTCTTCTGGTCACTCACAGTCCCTCGAGGACATAGAGACGTGCACTAGTGACCTCATTACCAGTCCATTATGTATAATCTGTGGTACGAACTCGCCGCATAGGCGCGCAAAATTATGCGCGTTTGACGCGGAGCACGCTGAGTACACCACAGACATATAAACGCATAGACTGCCAGGTCCTATTCAAAACTACACGGGGATTTCGTGATCTGCGCAGCGCCCGACTAAAATCAAAACTATGGGCAAATTCATACCTCGGTATAGGGAATTTACGCATAGCTGAAAAATTCCGGCCATAAAATTCTATGAAGCCATTTTTCGATTGTAAAATACCCCCTGTATTTACTTCACCTGGCCCATAGGGATTCAAAACAATGCGGTTAGAACATTTGAAAAGAATAGATAGCAGTAACGAGAGCAAAAAAGGTGAACATAGTATTTGGTAGCACATGTAAACAAATACAGGCAATGTAAATGCGTTGCGCGTCATGCGCACTGGACGTGCTGCCATCCGTCGCTTCGCTCATTGTTTTCCCATACTTTTCAAAATCACGGTTTTAAGCGCAAGACCGGCGGTCTATGCGTTTATATGTCTGTGGAGTACACACAATTCATTCTGGAATGTACGTCTTCGCATGCACTCCAAACGCGTTGGAAAACTTCGTACCAGACTGTCTTTCGCCGGTGAGGGTTTGTTGCCCCCAGAAATTTACCAGTCGGTTCTAATTTGTACTTTGATGCTTTGAATTAGTTTGTTATATCCTCATATCTTTATGCAAACGCATTATAAACCATAATAAATTTCCGTTCCTCTACATATAGAAATAAATAATCTAAAGAATTTAGAGAAGAGTACCGTGCCATACCACAAGGCCACTGCTACTTACAGCTCATACTGTGCCAATTCTGAGTGGTTCGCATCTTGTGGTCAACAGACGTTCCCACAATGACGTATTCTCCGTTGGTTAATCCCTGGTCATAAGCGTCTATGGCGAAACTACGCAACTCATACACTTCCCCGAGAAAGATGTAGACTGAGAATTGAGCAAACGTGAATGCCTTCATTAATGTCAACGTGTACCGTAATAACACACATGTTTTAATCAGTGACGTAATTCGGGTACATTTTGCGGGGGGGGGGCGTTTGTTTTCTGGAGGTGCACATTCAGTGGGTTCGGTCAGTTGAAACCACAGCTATATAAACGCATGGACCACCAAATTGCATTCAAAACGACGTGAACATTTCGTAATCTGGGCGGCGCCCGACTAAAATCAAAATTGTTGGCAAATTCACCCCTCGGTATAGGGAATTTACGCACAGTTGAAGAATTCCAGCCTTAAAAGTCTATGAAGCCATTTTTCGATTGCAATAAAAAATCCTGCATTTACTTAATCTGACCTATATAGATGCAAAACAATGCGGTTGCAACACTTGAAAAGAAGAGATAGCAGTACCAAAATGCAAAACAATGAAGGTATTTTGGGAGCACATGCAGGCAATGTAAGTGCTTTGCACGTAATGCGCATTGAAGGCGCTTTCATCCACTGTTTCGCCAATTGTTTGCCTATCATACTTTCCAAAATCACAGTTAGCCTGTATGCGCGAGACTGACGGTCTATGCGTTTACATTCCTGTGGTTAAAATACTGACAATCGACAGATTGTTTTCTTTTCTAATATCTGAGCGGGAGGGGAACACGGGGGTGGGGTCACAGGCCTCTAGTGAGGGTCCGTGCCATCCATGTCCCCCCCGCCTTAATTACGCTGTTGCTAATGATTTATCTTAAAAGGTAAGCTCATGATTTTAGCAATTTTTATGCACAAAAAGATGAAAGATGAACACTAAATTTAAAAACAATTCGACCCACTTCTAGTGGTTTCCTTGGTGCGGCGAATGATGTCTGGGAAAGGATCAGGTGTGGAGTCATTGTAAGGAATGAAACCAGACTCGAAAATCTCCTCATGCTGAACAGTTATGTTGTTTTCCTTGAACTGAGCTGAAACTACACTGTAGACCTGATGCCAGATTGAATGATTACGCAAGACCACGGTCACCTACAATTCAGGAAAGAGTTTCAGAAATAATATGTTCTTTAAAAGCTTTTAACCATTTTGTAAAATTGATATAAAATCAGAAATTCCTAGACAGTGATGTTATTTTTACAAACACCTTTTCTGTTTGGCACTCTCCCTTTTTTTTAAACTTCGAATGTCAATAGTTGAACCGACAGGTATGACTTCAGCTGTCAAAACTACAGAGACAACAGCACTTTACAAATTTTTTTTTATAAAGGAACATGCATGTTTTCGCGCCAGAACTTAATGTATATGCAAACTCAAAAAACTTATGTCGCTACATAAATATTTCGTCGTTTTCAGTCAGGACGTGCTGTATGAAATGGTAAGAGACTTATAGTGACTTGTACAACTAGAATCAGGCATGGAAGCATTTTGCACGCTCCAACCTTATGATTTGTTTTTTTTTTGGTAACCGAGACGTAGAGCACACCTCTCTTTCACCCCCAATTATCATAACTTAAACACAAGTACTGAGAATTTGAAATAACCATTTTTAGCCGAAAATTAAAACGAAGTTTCCAGTTTAAAACAAAATCATTCAGTTCTCTTCTGTAAGCAATAAAAAGCTAACAAATCTGACCTGATCCCAGTTGAACATCTGCATGGTAATGACCAACGCATCGGCAACACGCGTGCTCGGTGGAAGGGTCCGCACGTAGGTTGGATAGAGTAGCTTGTCGGAAACAGCTGCTTCGTCGCATCCCTGCAGAGTGAAAATCCTGTCTGTACTCTCAACATTGAATAGGATAGTATGCTCCCCATAAGAGCAGTGAATAAAAATGTTGATTATGAAAATGACGGTATAGAACAAGACAGTCAGCTACCAGAAAGTTTTTATCTTAACAATGAAGTGTAATTCTTCAAGTTTATCCACCTTGAGCAAAAGCACCCTTATTTGGTTGAAAAAAAGCCATGATGGTCAAGAGTGTTCGTTTTGTTGCTGGCGACGTGCACACAACGCGTACATTTCATAGTCGCTTATGAACCGGCAAAGTGAAGTTCCTACCAAAGGAGCCTCCGTGGCTAGGAAAATCATCGCGCCTTCTATTAGTCCAGCTCGGGGTCCATGCATTTGAAGAATTACACTTACCAAGAAGCTAGATGCCACACTCAATGACACAATGAGACTGGTCACTGGCTGCCTACGCCCAACTCCGGTGAAATACCTCCCAGTCCTCGCTGGAATTGCCCCACTACTTTACCAGGAATACCACATGACATGGGTGCGCTGGTGTAAAAGGCCTTGTACGACAATCCTCTACATGCTCGCATTGCCCGAGCTTAAACCCTCGATCGCCAACGGCTTTGCTCCCGTAGGCCCTTCAGTCGTCAGGGAGCCATGCTCGCAGACTCCAGTTTTGACACCACAGAGCAATGGAGCCACGAATGGCAAGAGACGGTAAAACCTGCCCAACTAATTATTGCCCCAGCACTAAGACCCCTCCGAGGGGTAGGACTCCCCCGCAAAGAATTGGTTACCCTATAAACAGCCTTCGTTAGGGAGTTGGCCGTTTCGCCGGCAATCCCTTGGGTGTAGTATCTCCGACCTTCTGCATCTTGCCCATGCCCCTGAGCAGACCCTATAGATCACATTCTGTGCGGTTGCGCGGAACTCGGGCCACCTAGGGCAACCCAACTCAAGAGACTGTGGCTTGGCTGAGGCGGCTGCGTGACGTGGTGTAGTGGTGTGGGATCTCAAACACAAGACGAATTACACTTCATTCTTCAATTGTATACTCTTGAAAAGTTTGCCCTTCATAGTAGATAACCATTTTGTTAAACACATTCTTTGTCCAAAAGAATTCTGAATCTTTAAGATAGAAGACTGAATTCACTTACGTAGTCGAACAGTGGAAAGTTGACGGAACCGGCAAGTCGAGCTTCATAATCACAGGAGCAGCCGGGCCCTATGACGCCTACGAATCCACGCTTCCAGAAATCCGCGATGGCCTCCATACCCACGTTGATGTCGCACTGCGAATCCACCCATTCCCAAGTCAGTGTGTGCCCTAACAAATCCAACGTTTATACGAGTTGTTGGTTACTGACATTAGCTCGCCTTTGTTTTGCTAGCGTTCGACCATGGAGGAGTCTATTCCTTCCTCCATGGTTCGACACAACTAATTTAAGCTCTTAGACACGTACAGGCCTACATGATTGATATGTCATAGACGACTTCAGATATAGATAGCATGTCACACAATGGAGATTAATTTTGAATTTGGAGCTGAATTAACTTTGATTTTTTTAAAAAAATTCCGCTGTTTAAATATAAATATGTTTTTCTTTTATTTCACAATTCTGCCAAAACAAAATCTCAGCTTTGATTGGCTAAATTTCTGATTTTTTTTTAGCATGAAGTGTTTGTGGCCCATGGAACGATTATAGTATTAGTAACACTGCTGCGATTGTTGTACTTTAATTTTCTAATGCAGTCGAACCACCTGGTCCCCCTCCATGGAGCTCTGTCGACGCCGTACGATTAGATGAGATGGAATTTCGTTCTCGTTTTAACAAAATGATGCATGGCTTACATTTGGAAGTTTTATTATCAAAAAAGATATCTAACATTAGTATAAACTGTTAATACAATTATATTAGAGAACTTCTTCAAAAATAAAATGCCAAATTGACACGAATTTAACATTTTTCTCCGTTCATGTCTTCCATTGAAAAACACTCTTGGTGTAAGAAATGAAGATTATCGAAGCCGTAAAAGTACATTTCGGACTGATACTTGTATACAGACTCAGGGAGTGGAATTGACCATGACCAACAAGTAGGCCTATATACACGAGCAATTCTTACTTTTAGGATCCTGCTCTTATAGGCCTATCATAGATGTGTGATTTCAAATGGCAAAGTTGGTAAGAATTTCACATTGTCTAGCAACACGTTCCTCAATATCACTCCTGAATCCTCAAGTTATAAAGAAGAATATACTACTGCGCTGATAAACACCTTGTAAGAAATTTTTAAAAAGTGGTTGAAAAAAGGTAGGATCTTACAATGAAGGATTACTTAAGGGTCATTTAACGTGAAAACGAGACATGTGTCCAAGGTCAAAAAATCATTTTTTTTTTCATACTTTGTGGGATGAAAGGACTTGGAATGTAAAAAATAGACTTTTCAAATCCATACGTAGCCTGTTACCACTGAAACAGCTCATTTTTGTTTGGGGCATTTTAGGCCACCTTACATGTAGGGCTTTGAAAAACTGTTTTTTTAGTTTTTAATAGTCCACTTACAACCACAATGCAAAAATATTTCACAAGTCTGCTTTTATCGCTTTAAAGAGTCATCCTTGCCTCTGCTCGAGACAAGTGTCACCCTTGTGTTCTTTTAACAGCTTGCATTGAAGTGTGTTTGTAGAACTTGCAAAATAGACATTTTTACCCTATTTTTGCACCTCAAAACGTCAACTTATCAGGGGTCTCAGAATATTTTCCTTTTGGTTGTGATTAGGGCCAACACTGGTCTTTTCATATGTGGTGAGAAAATTTTAGGCAATTGTATTCTGCTGTGACAGTATTGACTAAAATATGGTCATTTTTCATAAAACAGGAAATTGCATTTTGGGGGATTTTCCTCAGTTTGAGTCCATAATACAGAAAGAAAGGTACGTTTTGTGATTCTGGCACTGTTTTTATGTATGTTGAGTAATGAATACATAATAAAATCTATTATCCCAGTGAGCCCTAGCCCATGATTTGCCTCATTGAGTTGTTGGGTTGCTGTTATCCGCATAACTGTTGTACTGGTACATGTGTGACTCCCGTTGCAAGTAGACACCTAGTGCAAGTGCTCAATTTGCAACTTGCCCCATGTACAGTCGCCTTCCCACTGTCTCTTGGTCACCTGAATGCCACCCAATTTTCAAAATTGTTATCCTCCATCAAAGAAGAAACTCAACAATTTGCACAAATCTGTTGGGGAAAAGGTTCAAGTAGTCAGAAAACATTTCATATCTCACTGGCTAAAACACCATGTTTGCCCTTTTGTCGGCAGTTTCCACATTTTTAGGCAACGCTTCATCGGAGTTGCATTGGTGGAAATAAAAAACAATATTTGTAAAAAAAACCCAGTTTTTCATACCCCCCAGTCGACCTAAAGAGTCCAAAACGCAAAATGAGCTGTTTCTGTGGCAACAGGCTACGCATGGATTTAAAAAGTCTATATGCTTTACTTGCGTACCACGTCCTTTCATCCTACAAAGTTTGAAAAAAGTTGATTTTTTTCCCGTGGACATGTCTGGTAGTTAAGTGAAATGACTTCTAAGTGCTATATGTCGGGCTTATGTGTGCCCTACCCCCCCCTCGAGTCCGCTACAGTCAACCCCCGTCTTAAGCAAAACCTCTGTCTGTAATGTGATACTAAGTATCACACTTAGTACCACATTCACCTAGGCCAATTTTCGGGATCAAACAATCTTAGAAAAATAAAAATCATTATTCCCTACTAGGCTATTGTTTGACAACGTACCAGGTAAGATGCTTGGACTGTTGTTAATGTCCTCAACAGCTAGTGGGAAGGCGCCAGCGATGGGATCTCCAATGGCCTGGATATTACCATTCTGTGGGTCCGTGAAAGGTACAAGAAGGGCGATCTTGAAGTCTGTTCCGTGTGATACCCATGCACTGGCTACCAGAATGATAGCCAGAAGCAAACGCCTCATTATCAAGTATGGAAGGACTAATCAGCAACTCCGCAAACCCTTAAGCCTACGCTGTGGCGGACGACACTGCTCCAAACATTTCTCCAAGTCCTCAGATGGACTGGAGTCCTCGACAAGCCGACCCCCTTTGACACGTTAGTTTCAATGCCAAGGAACGCTTAACGTGTCTCTAGATTGTTGTTGATTAGAACAATAGAACAAGCCTTGCGATCGCGCAAAACCAATTGCGCGTCAAAACTATCCGCTCTGAACGGAAACAAGAGAGGGCGTATTTTCACTTAGCAACCATTGATCTAGGCATTGGACACGCGTACGCTTACGCATGGTAGAGAGGTTTAGTTGCACTTTCTACGTGAACGCAAAAAAAGTACAAGTGTAGACTCTTGCTGACGTCATTGCTTTGTTTGTATTGTCTCTCACGTACGGGTAGTTCGCACGGACGTCCATGAGGCGTGATACATGGGCATAGCAATTTTACGGAAGGTTTAAAATAATGTATTGAACATTCGCTGAAATGGAATTGACATTTTTTGAAAGTGCAAAGGTTATGCAACAGGGATTTTTTCATGCTTGGTTTAAAATGACCGATTACACTTCTTTTGAGAGATTTACCAGATGTGATTGATTATTTGTTCTTTTATTCGAGCGTTCATTGGAAGATGTACATTTTATGCGGGACACGCATCTAAACATTCAAACAGGCACTTTGACGCGTGCGCGATGAAAAAAATGTTGCGTTCACGTTTCCATAATACGTGCATATAAACCACACGCATTATATTTCTATGATGCTCCTGAGTATGGCCTGTCTTATTGTGAAAACCCCGTGGGATCACAAAATATTAATGAGCTCGCGCGCAGAAATACAAGCATTTGGTGGAATGCACCACTGATCTCTATGATAAAATCATTATATTTCTATAAATCTCGAATTTAGGACTGATTATCTCCAGTTCAGGGTATTTCTTTCACAAAAAGCCCGAAATTGCGGACCTATTTTGGATAGAGGCGGGCGGTTACATTCAGAAATGAGCGTTTAGTTTTATTGCTACTTTGGGGGTATCTTCGTTCAAAGGCGAATAAAAAACTTTTTCGTGGCTAACTCCCTTATAATTGAAACGAAAAGTGATCTTCTGGCATTAATCTTGAATTTCCAGTGAAAGAAACGGAGGCCAACCTCTTCAAGAGAGTCAACAGGCGGCGCTATTTCGGTCCGATTTTGCACTGTTTTGTATGGTCGCGTATTTGGTGTAGTGCAACCGTATGCGTTTATGTGCATATGTCTGTGATTTGGAAAACGTGGACAGCTTTGGATAACTGCATGTCGAGGGTTTGCGGGCTTTTGCGCATGCGTATTTTATAACACAGCGGTGTAATAGCATGTCGTATAAATCAATCTTGGACATTAATAGCACCATTAAACGTCATAGCTCAAAAATTATTTCACAAAGATGTTCAAGGGATGGAACAAAAAGAAGGGGTGTATGTTTGAATTTCGATAGATAAGGCCTATATTGCAGACACATTAGTGACAAAAACTAGTCCGAATATCTGTTGGGTTGTTTTCTATTTGTAGTATTTCTGAAAATTCAGATCAGTATGGATTAAAGTACCAGGTACTTCGCAAATAAAAATTTTATCGTAATTCAGTTGAATGAACTTACTCAGTAAATAAGTGCAATCTGAGTATTTAGGCTTCAAGTTTACAAATTGATGGAAAGAGCCAAGGACCTTTTAAATTATATTTTTGTATAAACTTATTTGCAAACAATTGAAAAAATACAGAAGCATGACAGTAAACAGAGGAATTTCATTGTTGAGTGTTGTTTTTACTTTTTCTTCCTTTTTAGAAGCGACAAAAACAAAGCCTTTATATCCGTTAGGTTAGCATGTGGATTGGGTTTTCAGTCCCTGCCTGATTCCGTGGATTTCCCTGGAATATTCATCCGGAGTTTCCTCCAAATTTAAAATCATTTGATTTCACTTATTGAAATCAAAGTGATTAAATTGGCCAACCCTGATACTGCATATTATTGAAATAAAAAATGCACAAGTTAAGGGTGAACTAAGAAATAAGACAGACATAAAATATGTAATAACCCAAGAATAGGATGATATGGCAATAAAGCAAAATGAGACAAAATCACAGTAAATAAAAATACGAAAGATTACCAACAAATTTTAACTGTTGCCGTAATATTTAGTTTTCTTCATAACTACTATTTCAGAAATTTTCAGTGTTTGTTTCTTTGATGAAAAGAAATAACACAGATTTAAAAATACCATTTGGGAAAACGAAGTAAAAAAAAACAGTCTCAGAAATAGAAATTCAAATTTTTCAAAGGAATCTTTAAGACAATGTTTAATGCTTTACATGGCCACAAAAACCTTTGCTAGTAACGTAAAATTCAGAAATGTGAATGTCTCTGGAACAAGGGTTAGTTGTGAATGAAGCCTTTATCAGTTTGCTTTGACCACAGCTAGCCAAAATAGGACTAAAAGACAAACAAGGTAACATTATCATATGCAATTACATTGCTGAATATGATGATTACAGTTTCCATCAAATTCTGAATGTACAATATAAGACAGCTAAACCTGTGTAAAGACACTGTATACATGGGCCTTCCCCATGTTAAGGGGGAAATTTGTTTGGTTAGGAAAATTGAAATTGTGGGGGGGGGTTATCCTCATAACATTTTGAGTCCCCTTATCTGTGCTCACTACAAGTCATTTTGCCAAACTCTACATAGGATTCCTTTTCCTGTATTTTTGTGGGGTAAGTATTAACTACTGTAGGATTTATTTATGAGGAGTTATCAGGCATCAACAATTTTCCCTGATGAGGCCATACAGAGCCTGGTCGTGCTGGCTACAGTTTGGATGGTGATTGAAGTGGTTGTAGTTCTGTGATAGACTGCCTCACAAGTTCAGTGGCATCTAAAGCACAGCCCCAGTGCAATGTTATACCAGAGCCTCCATGACCGTAATTGTACACAACCTGGGGGAAAATAAGGGGTCAGTCATTTCAAACTATTACTGTTCCTCAAAGTTTATACACAATATTGAAGTGCAAAGGTTGCAGAGAAGTCTTTTTGGAAGCAGATTTGACAATTCACCATTTTACCAGTAAACTTATGGACTTTTGCAAATTTTTGTTGATTTTTAAATACTATGAGTTTGAGATGCATTTCATAATAATTAGCGACATTTCAGATGTATGTTTTAATATCGCTGCCTGTTGGGCAACTTATTTTGGCTCACTTGACCAATTTTGGGTTGCCCTAAGCAACCTGGCAAAGGCATATGTGTAACTATTTAATACTGGAGAGGCATGATACTTGGTATATATAAAAACCTGCTCAAAAAATCTGGATGTGTATTCCCAAACAAAATGTATCTAATGTGGACCTCAATACATGAAGTTATAAATGCAATAATGTTAATGTAAACACAACCACCACATTTTATGAGGACTAAACCTGATGGTAATGCTTGTAAATGAAACACCAAAATGTGACCTGGCAATAATGATGGACTAAAAAGTCTGCAATGACTGTAATAAATGTTGTTTGATTTTTTTCTGTTGTATTTTATGTTGTTATGCCTTCTGAATGCTTGTACGTATGTTCAGTTGAATAACTGACAGATCGTGTATTTTGTAAAGTCATCTTAGTTTATGGTAACATTTGTAACATGTGGTGTCCTGAGCGGTTACGAGCATGCACACTGATGCTGCTCTATCATCGCCAAAAGTTTTAGTTTGCCCAGTTGCCCAATCAATTAAAAACCCATCTGTAAATTTAGAACGCCAAAGAAATTTGCAACTGTTGCAGATTTTCTCATCGTGATTGCAATCACGTCCTGTTCGTAACGCGTTACAAGTGTGCTTTGCGTACCGAGTCAAGCCTACACTTGCTGGTGTACATTCCAGTAAAATGACAGAAACACAGCCTCATAACCAGCAAGTATGGGCAACATGCACATGAAATGTTTCCTACAACAGGGAACAAGGATGAGGTCAGGACCTTTGTTGTGTCTTCATGTTGGTACAGCTGTTACAAGCGTGACTATCGAAATTTACGGTTTGCTATCCTAGATCTGAGTCAATCCACATCCATCATACAATATTTCTTCATTAGAAGCCCAGTGTAAGAACTTCCAGACACCATATTACCATTCTGTTCTGTTATTTGGCAAACTCTGTGCTTACAGACCGATTTTTGGACGGTGACATATGACAATGTACGAAAGTCACTTGGCGTCTTGTTTTTACAAAAACCATTTTCTCATCTAGATGTCACACATTTGTAACCAATATCGTGTACATATTTCACACTCTGGCCTTCCTCACAGCTTGAAATACACTGTACAGCCTTCCTTCATATTACACTCTCTACCGAGAAAGTCAGGAATTGTGAGCAGTTCTTCTCTCTAAATGAGTATAAGATTGTTGGATGTTACAAGATTTGCCCAAAAGGCCCTGTTTCTCTTACCTTCTTCATTTTGCCTGCAATCATCTTATCCTCCTTTTCAAGTCTGACGCTGGAGCGTCCAGGGCGTAAGCCTGCCCAAGTGCCTACTACTTCGGCACTCTGTAGAGAATTCAGGCAAAGCAAAGAAGTTCAACATGGAGAAACTGACCATCACATTTGGAGTTAACTGCTCCAACGGAGTGAATGTTAACAAGTTTCTTTGTATGGTTGCTTCTCATAAGGGGAGATATCAAAGTGACTTATCTATAAGAAGTATTTCAAGAAGCTTAGACCTGAATGGTATCTTATGTTGTGTATAAAGAGGTGCAACATGTAGTTTCCAGTACTGTGTGTTCATGGCATGTATCATTTCACTAGTCTTAAGTGGACAACCAATACACAACATTAGATAACTCAGCTCCTAGAGTGCCCAGTTTATCATCACAGGTCTTGCTCTAATCAGTTTATTCTGTTCAATCCAAATTGGTAGTCAAATTTTTGAGGATAAGAACAATGGTACAATGAAAAAGAATGCCACTGATTTTGTAAAAATGGAACTAACGAAATGGAAACAGCTGTTTCTAATCACTTTCATGTACATGTACATGTTCTAGAGTCCAGAGGGAGAAGGCAAAAAAAAACAGGAAACTACAGACCCATTTCTGCTTACCTTCAAGCTTGGTACAAGCTTGGTACACCTCTCAATGATACGTTTGGCATCTTCTGGGTCTGATTCTTCATTCCAGTCATTGACTTGGGCTGTCCCTCCACAGTGAATATACTCAGCACTTCAATAAAACCAAGTTCAACAGGGAAGGATTAGCAATGAATCTGTGAAGGCAATTATGCTTATTATGCTGCAAAGTTTCTGATAGTGTTAGACTTAGTTGATAATTGCCAAAGATACCATTGAACCATTCAAACTGAGACAAAGTGTGCCCACTAGATACGTAACGACAAAGAACCCACTGTCAGTCACTGATGACCCATCCCAATGCCTCAATTGCCTGTCAGTATGTATTATTACAACTGTACAATTATTCTGTCTTTGCACTTTGACAATTTGAATATGCCCCATTTTTGAACCTGGTTCTAAAAGGGTAAAATCTTGCATGCCATCTTACAGAACTGGTCCATCTGTCATATACGTGTTGTACATGAATGCAACAGAAAGACATATGTGGAGTTACATTATGCTTGTATTGTTCCTCTTGACAGGTTCAAATAGGAAAGTGAGAACAGATTCATGCAATCATGTTAAGTTAAACATAAATTTGGGTGCAGCTCTACATTAAATGCTGAAGAGAAGATGACCAGCTCTACTGAAGATGAAATATTAAACAAAACAAATCACACATAAAATAGTTGAAGTGGAATTCAAAATCTTCGCATTTTCATGTACCTTTCAAATTTATTTCTACTGTTTGCTTTCCACAGGCTTATTTATTTAATGACAAGCCTTGAGGTAATGACGACCTCCAGAGATAAGCGCTTGTTTTTATTGTTTGATCCTAATACATGCGGTCAGTTTGCAATAGTCAGATATTAACCCTAACTCCCTAGGGTGTATGTAAAATCGTATTGAAATTGGAGGATTTGGGACTGTCAGGGTTAAAAATCCATATTAAATCACTGGATGACATCATCATGTCATTGCAATGGATATTTTAAATCAAAATGAACTTTACATCTGTGAAGTTTCAAATTAATGTGACCTTGCACAGTGTCAAAAATGACTAGTAACCCCCCCAAACAAAATTTAAAAATTAATAAATTACATCCAAATGGAGAACAGGTACAGCAACTTCCCAACAAATACTGTTATCAAGATGATCAGATGATCTCTTATATGCAAAACAAAAATTCACCAAAAAAACACCCCTGAAAGTCATATTTTCATGAGTCTCATTGCAAGAATTAAATATAAAGAAACCTCTACCCCAATGACAGATGTCATGCCCTCCTGTTTGGCAAGTACAGGTGTTTATTAAGTAACCTCACGGTACTTATTCCTTCTAAGGCTATGTGAAGGATGAACAAATTCAATTTTAAAGCTGTAGTTGAATTAAGTCTGGTTTTGCTCGACTTGTTGAGCATGAAAACAATCTCAAGCCATAAAATACCAAATTCACCTTCCAAAAAAGCTGCATAAGTAACATAAAACATGATAAAAATAAAGCTTGTCATTCTGTTAACCTCATACCAGGTTAGTTTTTGATTTGAACCCTGAGCCAGTTCTTTTTAGAATCATGCACTCATAAAAGAGATATCCTTGCATGGTGCTATCGCAAACCTGTACAAAGAAACTTTTTACCTTCACCATAAAAGCTTCAAAGCTTGGGCTGATAGATTGTTATAAATAACTGTAATTGCCAAGGTAAAGGACCTTCAATTGAGATAAAGCACCATAATGTAGGCCTACACCAACTTCTTTTGTATAATACTCTTCACTGCATTCTAATCACAGCAGTTAAAATACTTTTAATGTTAAATTTTTGGTAACGAAGTGAAATTTTATACACCAAATTATGAATAATCATTCAAGATGAACAGAATGTTTTTAACCCTAACAGTCCTGAGGTGAAGGATTGAGGACTGTTAGGGTTAATGAAAAATTTAGATTAAACTCAGATTTTTGAGGTATTCCACTTACATAAGACCAGAAATTGCTTACCACTAATCAGGAAGTGTGCAGCTTTGTGATACATGTATTGCTGTCTATCTATTTTTTTTGGGGGGGGGAGATAATAATTTAATCCTGTTTTGCACTGACAACACAAAAAGTCTAAAATCAAATTTTACATCTCAACAATTAGACTTCAAGGTTTCACTGGACTCCAAATTTGTATTAAACCAATGAATTCAGCATTTTGGGTGTCATGTTCACTTTTGCACGGAATTGCCCAGAACCAAGGAAAAGAGTACCCATAATGGTCACATGTATCACAATCCACAAGGCAAGCCAAGTGATAATTGAATTATTTTCTTTAAACGAGTCATTTATGATTACATTGCAAATTTTCTCACCCCTGGCATCCAGGGGATGTCTGTACACCACAGTGCAAAGAGACATGCATCAGTAAATGTGGCATTATGATAAATGCTTCAATCATCATGACAATATTCCACCACAGTAATACGAAACTGAGTTTTGCAATGAATTAAGCAATTACGCATGTCACAAACAAAAATATAACACGTAATGGTCAGATACTAACACATGCATACAGTTTTGATCTGCAACAAGTGGTAGATGTAGGTGCATGTAATTACATGAGGGTGTTCAGGCAAGAAATCATGCAGGTTATTGGCATGGTTTAAGTTAGTGACTAGTACAATGAAAGCAATACAAGCAAGCAGCCTTTGGACAAGAGTCCGCACACATGCATCTTGGTTTAAATTCTGTGCAATACCGGTTGGATTTGTGTTGGAACTGTGTTTTGGAAAGTGATAGTACACGGAATTGACTGTGATTGATGTCAAAGGAATTTCTAATAATTTAATTGGGCTGTATTTCTTAACTTCTTGCTGCCGGGTGGTTTGAAAAATGTAGTGTACATAATCGGGACTTTTTCAAGATTTTCAGTTTTCAAAAATTCATCATTTACTTTAATGGATGTTTACACCCACCCAAATCACTGTCTGGTGGCCACTCTAGCCTGACAGACAAAATCTGCTGATGCCCAAGTACATGTATTTCAGCCAGACCTGCAGCCTTGTAAAAAGAGCCTAAATTGTGCGGTGTAATGTAACTTTCTTTTGCTCATGAACCTGGTACAGTGCACTGCTGACCTCTTTTCATTAGGGGCCAGATTAGCGTGCAGAAGTGCTGTGTGGCTCATCGCTGCGGTGGTGGAACCCTTTTGTCCTCGGTGGAAATACGCTCACTCTAAATGCCCCAAACCACGGTATATTGTTTTGAAACAATGCTGGATTATCTCCACTATTGACCGTGAAAAAATGTTGGTTATGCCCAGCAGCCTGGTCTTTTGTTGCAATTTTGGTCTTTTGTTACAAGGCCCAGTTCCCTTTGTCCGATTTCGGAGACCCCGGCCATGCGTATAAACACACAGTGACCGAAACCAGAATCCCCAGCAGGGAGAGGTTAATATCATAGGTGTATGGAGGCAGCCAGTTCATATTTGAACACAGTGCACTGTGCCGGTTTCGGGAACAAAAG